TTTTCCTGGAGCTTTTGGTGGTGAAAATGTGGCATGCCCACCACTCACTACACAGGGCTGTTTAACTCACCCTATCTGTCCACTACATTTTTCCTGGAGGACATTTAGGAGCACTAATAAGAGAGTAGAAAAGGAGGGACAATTGTAGTAGGGCCCCCCAAACATCTGTAATTGGGATGAAATGGGGGTAAAATGGGAGGGTGGGGCTCCAGAAAACATGCTATACTGGGGCCACAAATTTCTCTAGATGGGCCTTGTGTAATCTGTGGAGGACCTAAAACATGGCAGCACATCTGAATGGTAAAATTTTACCAGCAGTTTTTCCAGTCCTTAGGGGAAAAGGGAAAGGATTTTGAGTCTTAGGCTAGGAAAACTACAGCTCACATTTAAACATCCAGTTGTGCTAACACTTTGTAAGTTCACCAGAGTTGCATTAAGAAAAGAACCGAAGATCTCTAATGTTAAAATAAAGGAGAACTCTTTTATTTTATTTGGGGAGGTGAGATCTGTAGCTGTTTTCATACAATATAAAGGAGTAAAAGGGAAAACAATTTAGTTTTGTTTCCTTTTTCTTTGCATTTCACCTATCCTGGCTCATGAAGTAGGACTTTTGGGGGTTAAGTTTCAGTTGGTTATTTGAGACAGCAAGTTTAGTTTGAAATAAATGCGTTCTTAATACTTATTCAACATCTAGTTTGTGTTTTACTTCTTCTAGGTATAGCAGACACCGTGTCATCTGTGTTTGTTTGACACCGACTGGCCGAACAAAAACGCACGCTGCTAGTAGTCATTTGGCAGATACCAGGATTCTGTAAATTTACACTTCTTCAATATGAAGATATTTTACTTCAAAATTTTAAAAAATGATTTTTGTATGAGGGGTTGGTCTGCTGGGCATTACAGACATGGCACATCCAGAATTCAGGAAGATGCTTCAGCTTCCAGAGTCTGTGCCCCTAAATCTGAGTGGGGCTGCACAGACAACTCTGCAGAATACCATACACTTAACCCTCTGTTCTGAGAAAGAAAGAAAGATGAAACAAGGGTCACACTGTGGTGGTCAGTTTGGAAGTTTGAACTTTACACAACGCCTATTGAAATATTTGAAATGGGAACCCTAGATGGAAGGCATGGAGCAGTGGAAGTTTCTCGGTCCCAAATAATACCCACTGACAAATCTTGGCAGTGAGTCCTAGAATGTCACTAATATCACAATTGGTTCAGAATGAAATGGAACAAGGGAAGAAATGACAGGAGATGATGTTGTTTGCTGGAGGTTTTCAATCCAGAAATCTAGCAGTATGACAGGGTGCAGTCTGAAGGCACTTTAATATGAGGCGAAGCATGATATGTCTATCCATTTCCTCCTCTTTTATTTTCAAAAACCTTGTGTGAAATGACAATTCTTTATCACTCCTGTACTTTCTGAAGTGCCTGAATTGGCTTTTCTTGTAACTTTGTTTGACAGCAGGTGCTGTTTGCACCAGCATGGACTTTCTCTCTTTCTTCTGCTTTCTCTGCCTCTCCTCTTACGGGCCACTCTGCATTATATACCTAAACAAGCAGGTTGCAACCACATTATAATCTCTCCTAACAGCTCATTTGTATTATGAAGGCTAAAAGAAGCAGGGGGAAGGAAAGAGAGCATACCACACAGTGATGGAACCATCAAAATGTATATATGCCTTCTTGTGTAACCATGCAACTTCATCTCTGCTCACCCTCTCCCTTTGAGTGTCTTTGACCCTCACCTCTCATGTCTTATTAAATCTAGTTTTTTATGCTCCTCAAGGCAGGACATTTTGGGGGGGGGGGGGGAGTGCCAGGGCATTTTGGAGAATTCAGAATGGATTAATAGTTCTTGTAGTCCCATGTACTTGATTACCTATTAGTTCAGAGAGCACTTAGCCAATTAGGGGTACTGCAATAACCAACCTGAGATACAAAAGCATATCTGCTGTACCCTCTCTTTGCATGTAAGGTTGCGGATGGGCCATTTCATTCTTTAAAAAGTGTTGGAGTAGCACCTGCTTCAATCTCCTCTCTCTACCTCCATTAATTACACTTCTGCCAAAGCAAAAGGGGAAGTCAGACTATGATTGTCATAGCTCAAATATGCCTATAATTCACTAAATTTGTGTTTTACATATTAATATCTGTCTTCTAACAGTCTATCCTCTTCCAGGGCTAATCATCAGTTGTTGCTAATTATTAGCAGGAGAATGAAGAACGGCTACTGAGATACCTCATTTTCTCTCTGTATTTCCCCAACCAGTACCTTTAACTGGCTTATCGCAGAGATCATCCCACTAGCCACAGATTGCTGGATTCATTTCTGTACAAGACCCATTTATCTCTGCCCTTCTCCCGTGTGTTGGTCAGAGGAAATCTCTGAAACGTGATTATAAAGGCATTGAACTTTTTGATCTGCAGAATATAAGAGTAGAAAGCAATGTCATTTCTGAATTTTAAAGCATTCCAGTATCATATATTTATTTAGTAACTTTTGTGAATTTTTGTTTTTCTTGTCTGTGGTAGTTTGTTTTTGCTGTGCAGAAATAATTGTGAATCAATAGTTAATTTTTTATAAAAACAGATTTGTAACTTTTAGTTGAATTGTGAAGAGATTTTTACAAATATTTTGCACTATGTTCACTTTGAACAGGTTTGCTAATTACAATGTTGAATATGTGTTTTAACAATATTCTTTCTAAATAAAGAATTTTGAACATTCACTTATATCCTATTCTTATATTCGAAATATGCTAAAGGGATAAGAAAAGCATAATGAAGTTCCAGTAATGGCTGCTGTTTCTGTTTACTTACAGTTTTGCTAACTCTCCCCAGTTTATCCTGTGTCTCACAATATTTGCTGTTTGTGTTAGTGCTATGCTCCATTTGTCATTCTGGCTTAGCAAAGAAAAGGTTAAGGAGTGACTTGACTACAGTCTATAAGTATCTACTTTACTTATAAGAGGAACAAATATTTAATAATTGGCTGTTCAACCTAGCAGAGAAAGGTATCACATGATCCAATGGCTAGACGTTGAAGCTAGGCAAATTCTGACAGGAAATAAGGCATATTTTTTTAACAATGAGTAATTATTCATTAAAACTACTTACTGAGGGTCGTGGTGGATTATCTCTCTCTGACCATTTTAAAATCAATATTGGATGCTTTTCTAAAAGATATGCTCTCGGAATTATTTTGGGGACGTTCTATGGCCTGTGTTACCCAGGAGGTAAGCCTAGATAATCATAATGGTCAATTGTGGCCTTAGAATCTATGGATCAGATCTTGGATTATCAAAATATAGGAGGGAAAATTCCTGAGTGCAAAAGTACTGTTCCTTTAAGTTGTCTTGCTGGTAACTTGTTCTGCTAGCAAAATTGAGTTGGTAGCAATGCACGTATTTAGGCTAGCAAGAGGGAGGTTGCAACTTCACTTTTGTAAACCAGTGAGGTAAGGCCACTCAGTGGAGATACCAAAAAGGGTTCTAACTACAGGCAGTTACTATGGCATCCAGTTTCTGAAAGGCAGACTTTAGAAACTAAAACACAAAGGAGGCCAAGTATAATGCTTCCATTTGGAACAGTTTTCTATTTTTTCATAGAATTATAGAACCAGAGATTAGAAGGGACCGCGAGGGTCATCTAGTCTAACCCCCTGCCAAGATGCAGGATTTGTTGTGCTTTCTAATGAAGCCCCTTTGCTGTAAGAGAAGTTTTCCTTGGATATGAAAGACTGGTGAGGACAATTAAGCAGTAACATTTATTACTTATTGGAAGAATAGCATCAGTACAAGTTCTAGCTGAGGTCTGATACGAGCAATAATGATTTTTTTGTGTTTGGGTCTTACGTTTAAAAGTTGTTTCCATCTAACTGCTATTGATAGTCTATTTCTCAGTGAACAAGCATGAAGAGTATTAAAAACTTCACCTGATAATTTATGCCTCAATCTCAACAGGTTGTAGTGTTCAAATACAAAGATTTAATGGACAAGAATACCTACTGTCTCCACATCCTATAAGGTAATATGTTTTAGTCCTGATTTGAGGCAAATTGGCAGAACGGTTTGATGGAACTTTGTATTACTGCTACCCTTGCTATACTAGTACTTTGGATAAATAAAAAGGACTTCTCTTTCTAATGCCTTCATTCTGGAACCATTTTATACAACTAAATTCCTTTAAAAAAAGAAAAGAAATAAAGAGCTTTAAGGTTTTTAACAGCCATTTATTTGAAGTGAAAAAATGAAGTATGGAGACTAAGTATTTAACAGAATATCAGATATTTATTTTGTTACTCTTTTACAGTTATGCATTATTACACATTTTTATTATGACACTAAGAATCAAGATTTTTCTCTTTTCATATAAATTATTTTGGGACACTGACAGGTCCAGTTTGGCTCAATATTTAGACTTTTTAGCTGTATAAAAATCTCAGTACAATAAAAATGTCTTTTTAAAATTTAAGGAGGGACATATTTTAAAAGTAAATCCTCATCATCCTAAAGCATTTTTTAGTGCATGAAAACCTGAAAATTGACGAGAAAAGAACTAAACAAAAGTAAAACTGATTAGTCCACTTTCATTGTCCAAGCTGCCAGAAATGCAAAAATAAGCATAAATATAGAAAAGTAAATTGGATTATTTAAAAGAAATTTTAGAAATCCTCTGTGATTTTTGGTAACAAATATTTCTAAAAAAACAAAGTGAGCTACAGCTCACTCACGAAAGCTTATGCTCAAATAAATTGGTTAGTCTCTAAGGTGCCACAAGGACTCCTTTCTTTTTGCAGATACAGACTAACACGGCTGCTACTCTGAAAGAAATATTTCTTTAAAGATACTGAGCAAAATGAATCCCTAGCATTAACAACAGAATTTCAACTGATCCAGTATTGCTAAGTGTCATTAATATCTCTATATACTGTTTCCTTCAGCAAACTGTGCCTTCTTATTTCTGGAATGTTCTAAAAATACTTCAATATGAATATTTAGTAGTTAGTATCATCTCTAAATCATACTATTTATGTGTCCAGAATTTCATCACATGTTTTAAATTCTTACACCCTGGCTTGCATAAATATATATACATGCTTTGTAACATTTAATAAATTTAAGGGACCTCACAAAAGGTCAGAACCGGTTCGTATGACCGTTCAGAGTTCTTTAAAATGGATCACCATGGCAGGTTCTTTAATCTGAATCATCACTACTAAAGTAGGAGCTGTCACAATATTCTGCTGTGTAAAGGAATTTATGAATAGTTGGGTTCATCTTTGGTATCCAGTGTCTTGGCACCAAATATGTTGAGAGGTTGAACAAATCTACGAACACCTTGTACCTGTCACTGAAAAAAGAAAATCAGATGCATTAACTTTAATATGGTAGCCTGGAGAGGCCATAATTGGCCTCTACAAAGCCTAATCTTGGTTCAGATCTACCAGATTACATTACAAAGGGCCCTGGGAACTCCCAATGTGTTTGAATGATATACTACACAAGCTAACCCCCATGATCTTCTAATGGAAAACATCTACTAGTAATGATTTCAGATTCTTTCCACCAAGTGTGGCAATTCAGGCTAGAGCTGAATGACACAAGATTGATTTGGGTTCATGTGGTTTCAATCTCCATGATTTTTCATTCTTAAATGAGCCCCAAAGTGAAACTCAACCAAAACTGCCATCACGTCAAAACCATGTTTTTTCATGTTTTCTACTCACAGTCATTAGCTGATTTAGGCTTGAAATTTAGGTTCACCGAAAAGCCTGAGACCCTTTTGTAACCCTACCCCAAGTTACATTTGTACTAAAACCCCAAACCTGGTGCATTTCTACTTTGACTGTTTGATGAAAATTACAGACAAATCTTATCTCAAACATCATGTCAGGGGAGTGGGCTAAATCAATATTAGAGCAGTTGCCAAAAGCCAGAGAGTGTTTGAAACCACTAGTTGCATAATACCTTCTGCCCAAAACAAAACTAAAAGATTCCAGCTAGATGAAGAGATGTTTCCATGTGTGCTTCAAACAATCCAAAGTGTTTTTTGCATTTTGCTCTCCAGGCACAAAACTCAACTGTCAAGGTATAGGTACAAATATAAGCTTTAAGGTGGCCTAACTGACTGAATAAAAGAAAATATTAAATGACTGAAACTGTGCATATTCAAGAATGAGAAAGAGCTAGTTGAAGCTGAAACTTCCAGCCCAATTTAGTTGCCGTGATGATGGATGCAACAGGCAGGAAGCTATTTTTCCATCTGAAGTGCTGCGCTGGGGAATTGGTCAGTGAGACATGGAGCCAACATCCATGATCATCTGTTCCTTGCACAGCAGGGAAGACCAACAATTCTGAAGAACTGTAACTGATTAATTAGACACTCCCCGCCCCCCGCTCTCCATTATTTTAATAAATCAATCTTCATAACTACATTGACTTATGGACTATCCCCTCCTGTCACTTGGAAAAAAATTCTCTCTCACAAGTTGACTGACAAAACACAAAGGAACTGAAAAGCTATAAACAGTAAAGCTAATAGCTTTTACCAGCATACATTCAAGTGTTCGGTCCCTAAATTCAAAGAATAGTTTAACTTTTTTAAGATAAAAGGTCACTATCTTCCTGCTATTTAAACCCAGCTATTTATATAAAGACACCAGTGTTCAAAGTGTCAGTAGACACTGGTTATGTAATACTAATTGCTTATTTTCAGTAATTTTGGGCCTATGCTCTTTTTTCTGGAACCTTTCACGAATACTAAAATACTTTTTACCTGGATATGACTGAATGAAAAGTATTATTCATATTAAGTAATGTACTGTATGCAGATTATGGAGTGGTAATGAATAATATTATGAAGTTTAAATAATTTTTCTTCATGCTTACCTCACTGTTGAGCGCAAATACTGATAGCCTGATGATCCTCCTGTGCCAGCTTTGCTGCCAATCATTCTGTGCACCATGCAGACATGGTTGTCTTAGCAACAGAAATAAATAGAATTTGGCATTTCTAACTTACTTTTTATATTAAGTTGCTGCTTTAGGATACAAACAAGGGTTTGGTTACAATGATGTTGACCATTGAAATGCCAGTTAAAGCTGGCCATATAGCAAGTTGTATTGTATCATAGTTATATGTGAGGTACTCAGGTTCAGGGGAATGCTTATGACCATTTTCCTGGGACATCAGAGATAAAGATCAGAGAGGGTGACTCACTAGGTCACCAGGGAAACTCGTCACTCTTCAGCATGTTGCATACTGACAAAGGAGTACTGTTGACTATCATCCCATAGATTGCAACATATTTCACCCTGTTTTGTAGATGGGGGTTAAGACAGTGCAAAGAAGGGGTAAAGAAGAGTCATGAGCTGTGGGGAGAAACTGGGAAACATACAGTAGTTCCCTTAGATAAAAAGACGTTGCCCCAATTTTAGGCACAACATGGAGGGGATAGGTTTAGTTTCAAAAGGAAGGCAATGGCTGTTCCATATACATGCATCAACAGCTAAGGAGGTGTCACACCTACCCTCCAGATCAAAGCAAAAGCAATTGTCCTTCGAATAAGAAGGGGAAAGAGGTCTTTTGAATTCTAATTGAACACACCTTAGTTACAACTATAGTAATAAAGGGAAAAACAGTCTTGTACCTAGAAGAGATACTACCACAAAATAGAAGGGGAAACTTACATCTCCATTTGGTCATGAGTACATCAATATCCATGAGAGAAGTAAGAAGCTGAAAGGGAACCTGAAAGCGAGGCTCCTCTCTTGAAAAATGAAAGACAAGACACAAAGATAGTTCTTATTACCTTATTGATATTTTCTTATGTCATGTTTGTCAAAGTACCACTTCAAGTGTGCATAGCATTGACTTTGGTAATTTTTCCCCCTCAATTTCTTCTACCAATACAAAAATCAGTATTCTAATAGGTGCTTTCACCCTCCTAAAATAGGAGTTGCATTTTGTTCCATGTTTATAGCAATTTGTCCTTAGGAGAATTTAAGGACCCTGCTAAAGTACAGTATATGATTTAGAATAGCTTTTCAACAATTAATTGCAATAATAAGTGGATCGCAAATTGTGTACATACACAATTTGTGGTGCATAATACGTCATCTACCCTTGACTTCTTCCTTCTGTCAGAATTCCCACTAAATCTTGCAGCAATATCGCCTTACTGTACCTGTAGAAGTAGATCATTAAAGCTCCTTTCAATGCGTTATAAGAGAGTCGTCTTTCTCCTGCAAAATTACAGATTTTATTAGTTTTTGTGTTAATTTTCCTGCAAATGTCCAGAGTCCACTATAGTATAAACTAAGGATACAAAAATATATGGTAGGAAAAAAGTATATATTATAGTGTTTAGCTATCAGAGTTGCTTCAAAAGTAGCTGTATATTGAATGCCACCATTACCTCGAAAGTTGCCAAATCATAAAACTCAAGATTAAAAAAAAAAGCGAATCACAAGTAACTTTCTAAGACAACTTCCTTCCTTATATTTTTAAACTTCTTTTCACAAAGGGTCCAGTTACTGTTATTAAACTATCTTTTTCCAGATGTGAACATAACTTACCTTTACTAAGAAGATGTTCATGGCGTTTTTCATCAAATAATGAAATAAGTATCTCTTTTTGTTTTTGAAGTTCAGCCAGTAGGTCCTCTTTTTCCTCTGACTCTTGTTTGGCCTTTAAAATATAAAACAAAATGGTTATTTTTAGAAGAGGCCTACAGTTTTTGAATTATTTATTATACAGTTGCAATTTTCAGCATCATACTTCTATGAATTTACACATTTAGTGTAAGAACCATATTTTCAAACAAGTCAGATGTACCATTGCCTATGCAAAACAAAAAAAAATTACAATCAGTGCATGCACAAATGTACCTAAATCTCTACATTAGTTAGCCAGTTTTCATACCCAGTCAAGATCAACGCATGCACAAAATGGGGACACAATTACATAATTAGTTATTTTTTTAAAAATCTGTCCTTAAGTTCTGAGACATCTGATTTTATAGTTTCTTCATTTGAATGAAGAAAGAAAAAGAAACCCAACAATTAGAAAGATATTAATCTTAGAACTGGTCAAAGTTTCCCAGATTTTGAATATAGGATTTTTTTTTCATTAAAAATGTGATTTGACCTAAAGAAATTCACTTCCAAAAATGAATCCTCAAAATACCACATGAGAGCATTTTGTTAGATACATAATCACTCACGTCTAGATATTTTTTGTCCTCTTGAGCAACTAAATGATTTGTTTTTAAAAGCAAAACATTCTTCTCATGGTAATATTCATATATAGTTCAATAAGTTCAATATCAGTATGTAGAAGTCCCTTCTTGTCAAACCCATGTGTACCATTTAGTAAAGCAATGTGAAACAGCACAGTTCCACCTCGCAATGGTGTATGCAAACATTTCCTTCCATACGGATTCCCATGGACTTGTTCTTAGAAGAGTTGCACTTTGATCTTCAGACTCAAGTGCCTGGGGTGAAATTCTGACCCTAGTGAAGTCAATGGCAAACTTCTTATTGACTTCACTGGAGCCAGGATTTCAACCCTGTTTTTTGCAATCAAAAAATCACTCAAATAGCACACATTTCTGAAGTCAAATAATAAACTGGCCCATAAATACCTGAAAGAAGTGCATAGTTCCATTGCTCCTTAAAAACAACGTTTGTTTAAGACTGAATGAATCAAGGGAAAGGAACAAGGATTGGGTTAAAATGTTAACTAAAATGGCAGGATCTTCTTTTATCACATATCTTATGCTTGTTGATAGACTAAGGTACATAATTTACCTGAACTATTGCCAGTTCCTTTTCTAGACCTTTTAACACATTCACTTCAAATTTTCCCCAGAAATTAAATCCTTCTGGTTCTAGTCCTGGTGTTCTTTCCAGCCATGCCTTAAAAATAAAACAACATAAAACAAATAGGTGATACAGATCATGAGTTACTCTTAAATGACCCCAGAGTTGGGAGGCAAACTCCCCACTTCTAATCCTATCTAACATTGACTCCCTCTGTAGACCTGAACAAGTTACTTCAGCCCAAAAAGTGTTTAGGCACCTCACTCCCATTGATTTCAATAAAATGCCTAAATACCTTTGAGAAACTGGGAATTTCTCTCTCAGTCAATTTCTCCTTCCATAAATAGGGTAAGAATACTAATTTAAAATAGGGCAGGTCTATACTTAAACACTTACCTCCACTAATTGCAGAAGTGTTGGCTCCTGCTCTGATTTAAGCAGCAGTTCATTCTCATGTCCCTTGAAGTTATCACGGTAATGCCTTCTGTTATAAGGAACTCTCAGACTCTGCGGAACACCAATCTTATTCTCTAATAGGCGGAACTGCAGGCTCTGAAAACCTGATGCTGGGCTCAAGTAATCTCTTTGGGTATGGAAGAAGATAGAGTAATTACATATTATTTCAATAATAAGGGTATTTTGTGGTTTTCCTATCCAAAACTAAAAAAAACCTACATAGACATTTCTAACATGAAAAGCATTTCAAATAAGACTCTCTGATATACTACAACATTGACATCTCCTTTGTTGCAACCCAGGTATCACAATGAAAATCTGATTTCTTTATTTTTAAGTAAATAACAACAAATTATATATTGAAATCAATATTTAAAAAAACACATTCAGGAGGAAATTTAACATGAATATTAATTTATTTCTAAACATACACAGCCAAACAGGTATTAAGAAAGGTGTCTTAAGTCATTAAAATTAAAATAAACAAACTATAATATGTTTATTGGTGTTTAAATTATTCCATAGATCTGAACAATTTTTTGTTCGGGGTTTTTTCTGGACAAAAGGATAAGGTAGCAGTGTCACCCAGGCTAGTTTTTTGTTATGTGGGACTGATGTAAAATTAAACTATGTTGGCAAGTTGGAAGAACTAATTAATAAGAATAGCCATGATTCCCATTCCTTGGCAGTTTTAGTGGTTCAAAAATAAAGGATAAGATGATTATAATAATGGAATTGAAAGTCATTGATTTGGTTGTATAATTGCTTATTATACAATAATACATTTCTGAAAATTGCAATGGAAGATCTCTCAAAATAGATGGTTAATCCACTTATTTCTCTCTCTCCCCCCTTTTCTTTTTAAGTTTAAAAATGGGAGAAAAGGATTCTGGCAACCTTTAAGGGCCATGAATGATATTTTGTGGGGTATTATGAAGTGGTAATAGGGCGAATTAGAAATGAGCTGTAGCTCACGAAAGCTTATGCTCAAATAAATTGGTTAGTCTCTAAGGTGCCCCCAGTACTCCTTTTCTTTTTTTGCAAATACAGACTAACATGGCTGTTACTCTGAAACAAATATATAGGTTGCCAAAAGGATCCAGGAAGGGCTGGGAGTTGGATGACATGGCCACAGGTGACCCAAGTGGAAACCACAGGAAAGCTAGGAATGGGGGTGCATGCAGCAACAGTGGAGCTTGGGAGTGAAAGAGTTAGGAGTTCTTTCCTGGAAGCGAGACAGGCAGATGGGTCCCAGAAGCCAGGCTAGCAGCCAGAAAGAGGTATACAGGCTTCCAGGCCCCACTGTCTGCTTCTATTGGTAGATGGAGAGGAGAAATTCCTGGTGGGAAAGGGGTAAGTGAAGAGAGATGGAGGGTTGGTGGCAAAAAGCTGGCAGCAACATGCTGCTTCCACAGGCTTTTGAAACATTATATTTCAGTGACCCAGGACCACTGCAAACCTTATGAAGTTTAGATGTGTGAAGCCCCAGAACCAATGGGTTAAAACATCTAGCTCATGCTCTAGATGTGGAGCGTGGGTTTCTCTCGCCCACACAAGTTTATGAATTGACATAAAATGTTGCAGAGAACTTGTGGCTGTGAGAAATGTAAGGAAATTGCTAAGTCTTAGCTTGGCATTACCAAATGACAGGACAGTTTGATAATTTACATACTGTTATTTTAGTTTTGTAATGGTGATCTCAGCTAGCAAAGTCACATACCAATAATTAAGACAAACATCTGTTTAAAAATCTCACAATACATTGGACTTGCAATCAAGTTAGAGACTGTTAATGACCTTTATCGGTTACTAGTACAGCTGCTTCTCTCCCAAATACACACTCATGGTGCTGACCTAATTGATTTAGTTCTTCAGCTGAGTGGTAGAGGCTCAGGCTTTCTGCTCTGAAAGTCCTGGATTCAAACCGCACTGTTAGCTCTAGTGAGGACAGTTACATAAGCACTGATGCTAATCAATAAAAAATAAATCATATTTACCTGAAATCAAAGAAGTCCAATGCAGTCATAGTTTCTAGAATTGAAAATTGCTCCACAAGTAATTTAAGGATCATTGAAATTCTGTGCATTCGAGCAACAACCTTGAGCATGTTTCTCTCATCTCTCACCTTATTAGAAAAGAAATACTTATGACCAGATTGAGAATGATGAGCTGATAAGCCATTTATACCTTTGTGTTCTACCCATCAATCTCTTTTAGGGTGTTATTCATCTATCACTGCAGTAGCTCAGTGTATTCCATGTAAAAATCAATAGCAAAGTCTTGTATTAAATGTAGACTCCTGCATATAACTAAAATCATACTTTTTAGGCTTATGCTTAAAAGATCAACTGTGAGGGCTTTTTGTCTGACTGCTTACTCATTCTAACTGGGTCAGTTATAAAGGAATTATTTTCCCCATGTTTTTAACTCAGAAAGTTACTGAAAGAGTTGAAAGTCTAGGCCAAAGTCATCCACAGTGTAATTCTATTAGAGTCAATGGAGAAGCAGACCAGAGGAAGCAGGAGCACTAATGTGGCTAAGAAAGTCGTGGCACAGCTGAGAAGATGCTTGCTAGCAAGCAGAAGGGGGAAATAAAGGAAGAAACAGGAGAAGTGAGTGGGGAAGGAACTGCAGAGCCGTTCCCAAGCCAACTCTGTGTCAGCACGTCCATTGCCTTCAATGGGATCAGGATTCCTCTTGAGATTTCTGAGGCAGTCAATGAGCACGACCAAGAAATATCAATGGAGGGATGAAAATGCTACATTTTAATCTTTTTCATAATCCTCCCACCGGTTTCTGAATTTCAATTTTTCAACATTTTTAATTACTTTTCAACAAAATATTACTTTCATGGAGAAATGTATCCCATTTTAGAGATGGTTAAAATTTTCTGAATTTCAGATTTCAACAAAAAATAATCAACATACTAAATTTCAGTAAAAAAAAAAGGGGGGGACGACTAATTTTTCATGAAACTTTTTGCATTTTTTTTCCACATTTTACTACCAGGTCTACTTCCAAACAACATATATATCTTTATAACATCCACAAGTGCTGGATTTTCATTTACAACTATCAGTTTATTATTAAAATCTCATACAGCCAGCCATCTCTGATTGACAACACATCAGAAGAAACTCAAGAGTTTGTCATTACAATTCATAAGTGTATAAAGAATTTCGCTTCAGGGCAGTGTTAATAAAAGCTCAAAATATTCACCTTTTTTTTCCCCCAGGTGTCATCATATAAGCATCTGCTGTTGATTTGATAATTCCTCTCCAGTTTCATCAAATCACATCCAAATACCAGAGGATTTTTTTCCTATTTTATTTACCAGCAATTTATACACTGATGAATAATAAAAACATTACGTATTTTGCATAAGCAAACCAGAAAATTCAGAGGAAAGGGACCCTTTCAACATAAAAATAATAATTTTAAATAATTTATATTTTAAAAAAATCATTTACAATTATTATTTTTATGTTGAAAGTGTCCCTTACCTCTGAATTTTCTGGTTCACTTATGCAAAATACTTGTTTTTATTATTCATCAGTGTATAAATTGCTGGTAAATAAAATAGGAAGAAAACCTCTAGTATATTATATATAATTTTTCCCCTAGCCATGCTTTTTTGGCAGTAAAATACCACACAAATAACCATCACCAGAGCTTGTGACTGGTATGACCAAAGTGATTGCTCCTGAAGAGTGATCTGTGTAGGCCAGTTACTTTAGAAGATACAGTCCTCAGAACAGTGCATGATTTTACAGATCAAAATATGTGGACTATCATAATGGCAAAGTGGTGTCACTAAAGAGCTGAATTTCAGCCTTAAATCTCATTTTTGGGGTATGTGTGGATATAGTAAAAATCAAACTTTCAGAAAGAGGCTTGGGTTTTCATATGATAAATATTTGCACATAACTTACACGGCCATTCTGAAAGATCACCCGAACTGAGTCCAGTTCCCACAGAATCTGCTTAAACCAAAGTTCATAAGCTATAATGAGAAAGGCATTGTTAGTGTTAATTTCATTGCCATTGCTGGTATGTAGAAAGAAGTTAAGCAAGTAGATTCGGAGGTTAATTTCCGAATTTATTGTTAAACCTTCATTTAAAATTAATGTTCTATTTCCGTGTGTTTGGGGTGTAAGAAATACTGATTTACAAATGTACCTGCTGTTTAAAGAATCTCTCCCTTCTTCAGACCATTGTTGCATGAAATAATTTAGCACCTGAGACTGTTAACAGAACTAATCACAGTATATTCACTTTTGGAACTCTAGGGTGGCATATAGCAATTTAACAACAGTTGGGCAGAGGGGAAAACCTGGCCAGGCTATCAAGACAAGCCAGTGCTCTTACACAAAGCACCCTGGGATGTGTAATGTCCAAAAAGATAAAGATGGAACCTCAGTTTTAGCATGTCATCTAAAAAAGACCCAAATACAGTAAACAGCATAGTACTCATTTTACTATTTCAGACGGCTGAATCTGCTCCATCACAATTGAACCTATGGTTCTGAGGAGTCTAGGAGTTCTAAACCTGATGCTTAGGTCACTAAGCCATCTCCATTCTTATGTATATAATTAATTATGTTGAAGAGTATTCTCATTCTCTACTAAAACTCTTCAAATATGGATTATGGACTCTCTCTCTCTCTCTCTCACACACACACACACACACACTGTGTTGGCAGAGAAATGGGAGAGAAAGCTGGTATTCATGAAGGAATTTATAACTGTGTCCAAAATCAGAACAGCTTCTGTACTCCAAAACAAACAAATGGTGTGATTGCACCAAACAACTACCTTTTTCTGTCCTGCAGCTTACCTTGATGGGTCACAATGAAAAGATGCTCATCATGGATCTTGTTTCCTTTTTTTTCACTCTGCAGCTGTTGAGCATTCAATATTTTGTCCAGCTTTAAAAGAAAGAATTTTTGTAATAATCTCAAAGCTCCACTGTTGGGTTTTGGACAAAATGTTTCTGATGGGAATTTATGTGAATACAACAAAACAAAACAAACCCCCCACATACTGGTCTTTAGTTGCATTTTATTTATTCTACATTTTAATAGTGAGTGAATTCCATTGTTTTTTTCTGTTGTTTACAACTGGGAATAGATGAAAGAAATATGATTCTGCCCCCTCAGTGGGGCTATTTGCAGAATAAAGTACTATTTGGAAAACATACCTTATGAGAAGGGCCCTACCAAATTCTTGGCCATAAAAAACACGTCATAGACCGTGAAATCTGGTCTTTTAAGTGCTTTCACCCTAAACTATACAGATTTCATGGGGGAGACCAGCGTTTCTCAAATTGGGGGTCCTAATCCAAAAGGCAGTTGAAGGGGCGTTACAAGGTTATTGAAGGGGGGGGTCACGGTATTGCCACCCTTCTTTCTGCACTGTCTTCAGAGCTGGGTGGCCAGAGAGCAGTGCCTGTTAGCCAGGCACCCAGCTTTGAAGGCAGTGGTCTGCCAGCAGCAGTGCAGAAGCAAGGGTGACAATACCAGACCATGCCACCCTTACTTCTGCATTGCTGCTGCTGGTGGCTCTGCCTTCAGAGCGGGGCTCCTGGCCAGCAGCTGCCACTCTCCAGCTGTCCAGCTCTGAAGGCACAGCATCGCTGCCAACAGCAGCACAGAAGTAAGGGTAGCAGTATTGCAAATCCCCCCTACAATAACCTTGAGACCCCCCCCCCCCACACACACACACACACACTCCTTTTTGGGTCAGGACCCCTACAATTACAACAACATGAAATTTCAGTTTTAAACAGCTGAAATCATGACATTTACGATTTTTAAAATCTTATGCCTGTGAAATTGACCAAAATGGACCACAAATTTGGTAGAGCCCTAATTATGAGAGATACTGGAAGTCTAGACGCTCAGTCTATTTAGTTTATCAAAGAGAATGTTAAGGGGTGATTTGATCACACTCTAAATACCTACACAGAGAACAGAAATTTGATAATAGAGGGCTCTTCAGTCCTGCAGACAAAACTATAACAAAATCCAATGACTGGAAGTTAAAGCTCAACAAATTCAGATGAGAAATACGGCACAATTTTCCAACAGGGAGGACAATTAAACCATTGGAACAAATTACCAAAAGGGTTGTGGTGGATTCTCCATCACTGGAAGTTTTAAAATCAACATAGGCTGTTTTTCTAAAAGATATGCTCTAGTTCAACCACTACTTTTGAACTTGAAGCAGAAATTAATTCAGGGAAATTGCCTGAGTTATGCAGGAGGCCAGATTAGTTGATCACAATGGTTGCCTGTGGTCTTAAAATCTATTAATCTCTAACATGAAGAAAAATGGCAAAATCTAGCCATCTAATGACTTTTAGATACTCATGTGTTCTTTCAGGCAGTATAGTTCAAAAAGCCATTTGAACAGCTTTTCATTTGCTTTTTATTAAAGATGATAAGGAAAGGATAGGAAAGGAAAATAGCTAATGTAGTCTATAAATAATATCTGAATGCAATTCATTTTCAGTGAGGCAGAAGTCCTGTAGAAAAAATGCTATGGTGATCATCTTATTAAAGACCGTATTGTATGAAGACACACAAGCGTGCTGAATCAAAGTTGCCCAGGAATCTTATTACTGGAATTTTCTAACTTCTGACTGTTGACATTGTTTTTTAAATGTAATTATGTAATTATATAACTATTGGGACAAATTCTGTATAAGACTAGAGCAACTTAATTTATTTCAGTTTACATCAGTGCAACTGATGAAAAAACTGGGTCCATGAGCTAAATTTAAGACATTTTACAGACACTTAGATGTATTTTTTTCAGATTACAGCTCAGGGAATTTAAGCAGAATGGTTAATGGGAACTGCACAGCCCCTGCTGAGCATACTGAAGGTTTGCCCTGAGTAACCATCTGCTAAAATAATGAATCTTCTGCTTTGCTGTGATTTATCAAGGTGATGTGTTATATGCATCTCAGTGTAACTCTCTGCTTCAACCCTTCTCCATTCACAATTTAGCTGCAGGACTAAAAATAATTCCCGTCTAAACAACAAAATCCAATTTGTTTTCTCAAAAAGTTAAAAAATAACCAAGCGTCCCATTAACATTAACAGGTATGTGAGCTGTCATGGAATCTGGGGTGGGAGATGTTTGTTTAACTCAAATGTCAAGAGATACCGATGCCTGTGGATACATCCTTAGAGCTGGGAGTGAAACAGTGATCAGAAGGACTTGCCTTGATTGTTGACCTTCGCTGGCAAAGGGAGGGAAAGGACAGTGCCATATGTCAACATCTCAGATTGTAACAGGCATCAGGGCAGTAACATAATCCAGTCCTCACACTTACATGTAGATAGTCGCCATAGATAAGTCCACCTTTGCTGGCTTTATTCAGCCCTTCTTGTGACTTGTCTTCTCCTTCCTCATCCTCCAAAGACAGTTTATTAAAATTAAATCTAGGAATAAAAGAAAATTACAAAAGGAAATAACAGAGCTAAAAGTATCAGAGCAGTAATTGTGCCTAAAATTCAGGCACTGATCTGCTTTGGTGGCTCAGTTTCGCAAACATATATGATAAGCAAAATAAACAGCATGTATCTATCTTCAACCTTTATAGCACAGACATCACTATAGTATCTAGGTACATTCATATCTAGTATATCCTAATAGCCAATGCTCAAAAGAATTCTTAGTCCAGCTCTCTTCATTCACTGTTGTCTATATAATTATTTAACCCTTGGTAGTTAATGAATAGCCTCCTTTTGAATTTTACACTTAACATTCACATTGTATCTATCGTGTTAACTGACATTATGCAGTAAATAGAGAAATATACTCACTGATATTTGTTCCCCCAAAATGGGCACCCACTCATGACTCCAGAGTCCAATAACTCGCTAAGCAATGTTCCCCAGGGATATAGTCTATGAACATTACCAAACCTACTGCAGCTGCCTTTTATGTAACCTGATCTTAGTGTACAGGCCAATCCCCTACTACTCCATCTGCCCATCCCTGTCAATCAGTAATAATTACAGAAGCTATCCTGACACAAACCTCAGTAAGTATTTGTTTTGTTGGCTGTTCTGTTAGTTGAGTCACCCAAAACAAGAAGAGTTGCAATGCTCATGTTGGTCAAATGTCACATACTTTGAGCAGCTTTCACTAAAGTTCTTTTGACCTTGGTCATTTTCAGTCAGGCACATAGTATGGGATCAAAGCTAATACAAATAATAAAACAAATCAATGGGAATTCTGTGTATAAGTCAAGGGCAGAATATGGCTCTAAATATTGAATCTCATGGATTACTGACACAGGATTGTAATCTTTAAACACTTAAGTCAAAATTTCAAGGCACTTTTGATGAAAAAAGAGTGAAGTCTGTGTTGGGCAGAGATGGACTATATCCCAAAGGTGACCTGAACCCCTTCTGGAATTAACTCCAAAATAATATTTTTTAAAAAGATTACTTACACAGTCTCTCCAATTAAAAGCAAAACAATTATTTTATTAATAAATATCCATGTAAATTCTCATAGGGCAGATAACTCCCCAGTGGTTTAAATATACTAGGGTTTCTTAACTCTTGAACTATATTCCCATGTAAAAACCCCATGCATATTTGTTGACAATGGTTACTCAGTTCTGTTTAATCATCAACTTAACCACAATGGAGTAATGGACACACATGCTGGAGTAGCTGAGATATGGTTCTTTCTCCTCTGTGCCCCCAAGTTGCCAGGATTTTCAAGAGAAACATTATCAATGTTGGTTTCAGAGTAACAGCCGTGTTAGTCTGTATTCGCAAAAAGAAAAGGAGTACTTGTGGCACCTTAGAGACTAACCAATTTATTTGAGCATAAGCTTTCGTGAGCTACAGCAAGTGAGCTGTAGCTCACGAAAGCTTATGCTCAAATAAATTGGTTAGTCTCTAACGTGCCACAAGTACTCCTTTTCTTATTATCAATGTTCTGTTTTACTGCAAACACTCCAGCCACTCCCCTAAGCATCAGAGTCTGCCTCTGATGCCCCATGACAACCCTCTGGTGCCATCAGCTGCTCTTGCCCCTGTGAACCAACACATTTTCATATCCGGGTGTGTGGTAATGGAAGCTATAAGCTCCCAAATCAAGTGACTTTAAGTCTTTACAAATAAAGGGCTAAATTGTGCTTTTAACACATTAGCCATGTAAAGAGAAGATTGAGTGACCGGAGCAACCATGCAGGAGTGATGGGACATTCTGCTGGTGCAGTGCAAAAAACATTATGGTACTTTGATCAGCTGTTGCTGAATCAGAACAGAAAGTGTTCAATCAATCACATAATTTATAGGTCAGACAGGATGCAACACAAAGAAAATTCCTCCTGACATCTTCAAAATGCTTAAAATATGTTAAAGGGCGAGGCATCTGATGAGCCCCAAATAGCTTTAAGGGGGGAAAAACCCCATCACCTTTGTAACACCCATGAAGCATAACAAACAGAAGTAGAAAATAGACAGTACTCTGAACACCACTGTTGCTTCATTGACAAAGATTTATAATTTCCTTCTGACCGCACCCCTCTCTTCACCATCTTCTACTGGCTAGCTTAGGCAGCTTTCGGTTTAGCATGCTGGTTTTTGTGGTTCACTTCAGTTTGTGGTAAGGAGCTGGGAGCAAGAGGCGCTAGGAGCTCAGAGTGAGAACATGGACTGTTGGAGGACTGAGGAGTAGAAGCATTATCAGACACCAGGAGGAAGGTCCTGAAGTGAGGATAAAGAAGGAGTTGGGAGGAGGCCATGGGGAAGTAGCCCAGGGAGTTGTAGCTGTCACACAGCTGTTCCAGGAGGCACTCTAGACAGCTGCATTCCACAGGGCCCTGGGCTGGAACCCAGAGTAGAGGGCGGGCCCGGGTTCCCCCCAAACCTCCCAACTCCTGGTCAGACACAGGAGGAGTTGACCTGGGCTGTGGGTTCATGAAAATGGCCAAACTGAAGGCTGCTCTGAAGCTCCCAGGCGAGCAAATCCGCCAATAAGCACAAGACCCACCAAGGTAGAGGAGGAACTTTGTCATATTAGTTACACCCATGCTATTCCAGTGAATTCAATGAAAGTAGAATTTGGTCTTTGGATCCCACAACACTTCCAGCATAGTAAATAATGGAGAAGCAAGCAACATTACAGCCACTTCTCAGAAATTCTATTTGCAAGTTATACATGACATTACTTCTAGAACCTCATTATTCTGTGCTCTCTCAGCCCCCAGTTCAGATAAGCACTTAAACACATGCTTAATTTTAAATGTAAACATGTGCCTAAGAGCTGTCCTGAACAGGGATGCTCTTCCTGAATTGAGGCCTCAACCACATAAAGCATAAATTTCCTTTTCCTCTTAGTTTGTATAGTTGTGTTGGATGCATCAGCATTGTCCATTAACTTGTGTTTACTAGGGGTGCAGTCCTGCTCCCTTTAACGTGCACATTACCACATTATCTATTTATATAGTTGATTATATTAAAGGAGGTTTCCTTACACACCATCTCTAGTCTTCAGTTCTTTATTATTATTATTATTAATTATCTGTATTGCAAAAGCACCGAGGAGCCCCAGTCATGGACCAGGACTCCATCACGTTAGGTGCTGTACAAACACAGAACGAAAAGATGGTCCCTTCCCCAAAGATCTTACAGTCCAAGTGTCGGACAAAAGAGAACAGACAAATACAGACAAACAGACCAATGGGTCCTCATTTTTTAATCTAGTTTCCCTTACAGGTTCCATGAAAATTGAGCCTAGCATAACTTTTCATTACAACGCATAATCCATGCTCTAATCCAGCAGTTCTCAAACTTTAGCAACTCGAGGACCCCCATTTTGTTGTAAAATTTTTCGCGGACTCCCAAGTCCCCTGCTCAGCCCCAGGCCCTGCCCCCACTCCACCCCTTCCCCCAAGACCTCACCCCACCTCTTCCCGCCCCCGCTCCACCCCTGCCCCTCCTCTTCCCTGCCTCTTTCTGCCCCCTCCCCAGAGTGCGCCCCATCCCTGCTCCTCCCCTGCCCTCTCAGTGCCTCCTGCCTGCCACTGAACAGCTGTTCCCTGGCATGCAGGAGGTACTGGGAGGGAGTGGGAGGTGTTGATCAACGGAGCCAGCAGTCCCAGACATGATTCCACCCCCTCCGCGAGCGTGCCCTGTCCCCTCTCCTCCCTCTCCCTCCTGCACGCCACTGAACAGCTGTTCCCCAGCGTGCAGGAGGCACTGGGAAGGAGAGGGAGGAGTTGATCAATGCGGCCCGCAGACCCCAATTTGAGAAACGCTGCTCTAATCATTTATGCATTTCCTCTTGTTTTATTATGTATAAAATTGTGAATGAAAGATAATATTAAATAACAATGCTTGATAATGATTCTACTAACAAAGACTTTAAACATATAATCTTTGATCTCGGTTTCGGCAGGAAAAAGTACTTTGACAGATCAGTTCTGTCACAAAACATCAATATATAAACTGCTGTGCTATTAAATTCACATCAGAAGCAAATGTTCCCATGTGTTCAATGAGTATTTTGTAATTTCCGTAGCTTGTAGTGCCCTTTGCAGTTAACCGTCACTTGCAATTAATAGTTTGTTTTAAGTCAAATAAAGATTCAATAACTCAAGGTTAGACAAATAAGGAAAAAGGTTGACACAACATTAATAACCCAATCAGCCATTTGTACTTTGTGGGAGGAATAAAGTTCAAGGTCTTGCAAACTACCAAACAACTGATTTGTAAAACATAGTGAAGAAAGGTAGTAACCAAGAGAATTTTTTTCAAATGCTACCTATGACTGGCCTTCTAAACACAATGGGCTGTCATCTCTCCTCAATATTTCTATCATTATTTCCAAAGTATATTCAGAAAGATATCCTCACAGTTGTTACCAAAACTCCCCTTTTTCCTCCAATTCCTAGATACTAAGGTCAGAAGGGACCATTATGATCATCTAGTCTGACCTCCTGCACAACGCAGGCCACAGAATCTCACCCACCCACTCCTGCAAAAACCTCACCTCTACCTGAGGTATTGAAGTCCTCAAATCGTGGTTTAAAGACTTCAAGGAGCAGAGAATTCTCCAGCAAGTGACCCATGCCCCATGCTACAGAGGGAGGCGAAAAAACTCCAGGGCCTCTTCCAATCTGCCCTGGAGGAAAATTCCTTCCTGACCCCAAATATGGCGATCAGCTAAACCTGAGCATATGGGCAAGATTCACCAGCCAGATACTACAGAAAATTCTTTCTTGGGTAACTCAGATCCCACCCCATCTAACATCCCATCACAGGCCATTAGGCCTATTTACCAAGAAAATTTAAAGATCAATTAATTACCAAAATCATGTTATCCCATCATACCATCTCCTCCATAAACTTATCGAGTTTAATCTTAAAGCCAGATCGATCTTTTACCCTCACTGCAATGAAAACAGTACCTACAAAGATAAACCTTAAATAGATGCACAAACTTGTAGACTTTTACAGCACGCTGCCAAGCTATTATTTTGGAGAAGGAATCTCATTTCCTTCTCTTAATAACTGCTCAGGATTTGTGTTGCAGTGACTAGCTCTCCAGCTGAGGAGAGCTGGCTGCCTTTCCCCCCTAAACCTGTGGATGCCACTCAAAAGCCATGTGAAAGGAACTAGAGTTCATGTACTAGGCATGCATCTGATGAAGTGAGCTGTAGCCCACGAAAGCTCATGCTCAAATAAATTGGTTAGTCTCTAAGGTACCAGAAGTACTCCTGTTCTTTTTGCAGATACAGACTAACACGGCTGCTACTCTGAAGAGTGATATAAGGCACTCCCATTCCTCCCAACATGGCTGAGCACATGATGCTGCTTGTTTTGTAACACAGTC